AAAAAAAAAAAAAAAAAAAAAAAAAGGAACGACCAACAAATGAAGTCTTTTTATACAAAGGAACTGTCTCATGCAGTCCGAGGTATCCTTGAACTCTCTCTATAACCACCCAGCATGACCCTGACCTGCTACCCTCTGAGTGCTGGGATTATAGGTGTGTGTACACCCCCATGCCCCAGTTATGAGGTGCTAGGGATCAGTGAGGTTCAGGGCATTCATTGTAGGCAAGAACTCCAAGCAACCAAATGACATCCATAGCCCTCACTCGTCAAAGCGATCTCAAGGTAATGATTTCCTTTTTAACCTACCAGTGTACACACACAGAAACTGCTTACAGTTCCCGGCCACCTAGACCCGAATAATCACAGAGAAACTATATTAATTACAACACTGTTTGGTCAATGGCTCAGGCATGTTCCTAGCTTGCTTGCCCTTATATCTTAAATTAACCCATTTCTATTAATTTGTATATTGCCACAAGGTTGTGGCTTACTGGGTAAGGTTCTGGCATCTTTCTCCTTCGGCAGACACATGGTCTCCTTGACTCCACCTTCTCTCTCTCTCTCTCTCTCTCTCTCTCTCTCTCTCTCTCTCTCTCTCTCTCTCTGTGTGTGTGTGTGTGTGTGTTTGGATTTCCCACCTGACTCTACTCTGCTAAGCCACTGGCCAAAAAAGCTTTATTCGTTAATAAAAGCAATACACATACAGAAGGACATTCCATATCATACCAGTACAGGGGACTGAACCTAGGGCCTTACTTTTTTTTCTTTTTAAAAAGAAAGGGTTTTAAGGGCCCTAGACCGGCTCAGCTCATATTTACTATGTCGCTGTGGATGACTTTGAGCTCCTGATCTGCATGGCTCTACCTCTCAGTGCTGGACTGAGTTGAACGCACAGATTAGAGGTATGTACTCCAACTACTTCTGCTACAAGAGCCACAGCTGAGGACCAAACATTGCCACACCTGGTTATCATCAACACCCAGACTGCTGGACAGGAGGGAAGTAGCACAGAGTGCGCGGGCAGACAGCAGGCAGCTGCCAGAGACCCCCTCCTTTCTGCTCCTCTGTTCTGGGCACCATGGAAAGGAAAGGCTGGAGCTGGGCGGTGGTGGCGCACACCTTTAATCCCAGCACTCGGAGGCAGAGGCAGGCGGATCTCTGTGAGTTTGAAGCCAACCTGATCTACAGAGGGAGTTCCAGGACAGGTTCCAAAACTACAGAGAAACCCTATCTCAGAAAAACAAAAAATGTTGGATTCTCTGAATACAGCGATAGTGGCACAGAAGAAATGAAGGGCTCTGAGCATAGCTTGTATGTCTTTCCCAGTTACTGCAGGAAGTGCTGATGGAATCTCGGGTCCATGGGTTGGACGGAGGGTGGGTGCTGCAAGGAAGAGGGAAAACAGAGGCTAAGGCTGATTCTTGGAGTAAGGCTGGGCAGAGCCAGAGCGCCTCAGGGAGCACTGGCTGTTGCCGAAGAGGCAGCATCTGTGAAGGCGGCCAGGGAGAATCCAGCTGGCTCCCATTACTCTGGGGGTGAGGCGCCATTAAGCTCCCACAGCTGTGACTGATTGTGCAGTGGAGGGATGGGAAGAGCGTGCCACAGCGGGAAGGAGGCTGGGCCAGAGGGCTTCGTGCTGGACGCAGGTGAGAGGGGTCAG